TCTCCAGCTGTGCAGAGTGCCATTCACTGACATTTGGAAGGCGCCAAGCTGCGGGAACTGGGCAGCGGTGAACAGGCGCTCACGTGGCTTGATGATACCCCTAGGTCAGTGAATGGTGCTGTGCCTGGCTGCAAAGGGGGTTTGCTGGGTGGCTGCTTGTGAGCGTGGTCGCTTCATGGCTGTTGTGTTGCACTGCTGCGATATAGTCATTCGCCCATGAAGCTGTGCCCGGCTCTTTGAGAGCCCGCTCGCAAGAGAGCAGCCACCCGGCAATCCCAAAACAATAAACCCTCCCCCCATAATAAAGCCCAAGCCATATTTTGTAGGTAAGAATATAAGACCCTGTCCTATTTTCGGGGAAACATGGTATATAATCAACACTTGAGACTAGCAATACTAACATTCAACTTTAACCCAAAACTCATCCATCACCCTGGTCTAGTGAATTGTGTGTGTGTGTGTGTGGGCGCGCGCGCACGAATGTGCACACGCACACACACTCTGTGCTGAACTGTTTGAAGAGTTCAAATCTTCCTTTGCTAGGTTTGAATTTCCCGCTGGGAAGCCATGAAAAATAATTTCAACGGAAAGCTGCATGGAAGCCAGGTATTTTATTTTTTCAGGAAGGAAGTACAAGCAGCAAGGACACCGTTCCTGGGCTAGCCACTAAACTGGGATTGGCTAGATATTTTTATGCGCTTTTTACCTGAAGTCTGATTTTTTTAATAGCTTTGTGCTAATGATTCTGGCTTTTCTATGATTCCTGTGTTAATGGTTTCATTCCTGTTTTGCTCTACCAGCAAGGAGGTGCTTTCTAGTTTGTGTTTCTAATTTTAATTTTATTTGCCCCAAGTATGTTTCCCAAAACTGATACTATTTTTATAACCTGTCTTTAGCACCTTTCTGTTTTGCTTCCCCCCTGTCATCTTGGTTGCTCTCTTCTTGTGTCTGCATTTCCTGTTTTTCCCTCCACTATATCGGAATTTTAATTACTCTGGTTTTTCTTCTTGGGCTCTCTGTTTCTATGGGGATTTTTAATGCTATTTTATTCTAATGTTTCCTGGTTTTCCAAAAAAGCTTCTAATGGTGCCTTTGTTTCTGAATTTAGGATTTTATCATTTTTCCTTTTAGTGGTAATACCTACAGAACGGCAACGGAATTGGCGCCACCAGAGAACCTGGGGGGGGGGGGGCAGGTACTCCCACAATTCCCTGGTTCTATAACGGCTGGTAGTTCCGGCTAACCGGAGAACAGGAAAAGCCGGCTTGCTTCATAACCACTGTCGCCTAGCAACACTTGTTTCCACCCACCCACTCTCGCCGCCATTTAGGATCGGCCATCTCTCCTCGCAGGACCAATAGCACCTTAGGCCACGCCCATCCCTTTGTTTCATTTCCGCCCATTCCTTTCTACCACACCACCTAATTCTCCTCAGCGAACACCACGTCTACAAATGATCCCTCCCGGAAGTTCTTCGCTCTGGTCTTAGCTAGAATCCGTTCACTTCCGGGTCACCTTTTCCCGTTTTTCGCCCTCCCTTTTCTCGTACGGACACGCCGCAAGTGAAAGCCGGCGCGTCTTCGGCCACCTCGCAGGTAAGGGTGTTTTTCCCATCCATCCCCTTAAGGACCCCCTCCTTCCCGATTACCGTAGATGGGCCTGGCGACCCGACCCTTCTCGTCTCGGCGCTCATTTTGCTTTCTTATTTCGCCTCAGCTTCGCCTCCCGTGCTTGTAGATCGAGCCCCGGCCTCGGAGATGTTGCTGCGGCGCTGGCGAGGCCCTGGTGCCTGTGGAGGCTGGTTGGCGGCGGGGCTGCTGCTCTTGCTGCAGCTCAGCGGGTCGGTCCGCGCCTCGGAGATCACCTTCGAATTGCCCGATAATGCCAAGCAGTGCTTCTATGAGGAGATCGTGCAGGGCACCAAATGTACCTTGGAATTTCAGGTAAGGAGAACGTCGTTCCTTTCGCGGCACCACATAGGCAAGTGGCTATGCCGGCTATGCTTGGCTGGGCCGGGCGGGGGTCCGCCCCTTCCACACGCAGAATAATCCTCCTTACACTTTTGCCTGGTTTCAGTTGTTTGGACAGGAATTGGGGTTGAAAGCGGCCCCTTTGATCGTGTGTGTGGTCAAACAGGACTGAAAAGGCGGCGGGAGAAGAGGATTGTCAGGAAAAGTAGCAGAAAATTCTGCAAAGACCCATTTAAGAACTACGAGTTCCACGTAGAGTCGTGGCCCCATTGATTATTCTCATCTAACCGACCTTCCTTTTAGTACAGATATTCGTCCTGTCCCGTCCCCCCATCCCCCTTCTGATCTGTCCTATTTGTCATGGACCTTTTTGTTTTGAATCTTCTTATTGTATTATTTATATATACTTCTTATTATACTATATATATCCCTTTTGATGTGTGTGTGTACAATAAGTCGAAGTGTTATTGCTAGCGCTATTGTATACCTATGCTGGGTGTGGTTTTAAACACACAAAACTATTCCTGCTGTTTTGCTAGTTTTATCTTGGTAGTTGTATGTGGCGCTGCTACCTGTTGCTTGCAACAGTATGGTGAAACAGGTGACTAGGCATAGACTGTTGTTAAATGTCTCTTTTGTGCAATGTGCAAAAGTGAAATTGTATGATTTTCACTTAAAAGGAGAAAATGAAAATAAAGTGGCTGTATAAGCTCAAATATGTATTGTATGTACAATATGTATTATCAGTATTAATACAGGTAAATAAAGTACATAGAAGATGCATATATCAACAGCAACAATTTCATTCTGAAAATGAATAAGGCAATTCTGCCAACAACACTTTTTGTGTGCCATCAAATCAACATCTCCATTGAAAGCAAGGTTCCATGTACTTTCCTATTTTTAAAAAATTAGATTATAAACTCTGTAGATGAATGTATTATATGATTATCTTTCTAGAATATGACATTGAAATGGAGTTATGTTGTATGGAAATTAAAAGCATGGACCATATGTTGCCTAAAATATGAAGAATATATATATATATTTGCTATCCAACTTGAATGATGATTCATCTCATTGTTCAACAGAAACAGAGGAAGTACTATTTTTTATGTAATCAATGGCTTCACTGGATCCTAAGAAACTATATAACAGTGTCCGATTTAGCAACATTACCTTGCTGGCTACTTCCTCATTTTCTACTCAGTGAAGTGTTGAATGCTATTTCCAACTATGCTGCCATCTTTTAATCTAATGTCAGGACCGTATATGAGTGTTACTCTCATTTAACAGGATGACTTCAGATAATGTTTTATATTATCAAGATTTAGGAAAACAAATTGAAATAGTAAATATTTGAAAATCGACTCTCCATGGAGTAAGATGTTTAACAGATTTTGGTCTGTTAGGAGAGGAGTGATGATAAAAATGAACTTTGTAATTTTATCTATAGCATTAGCTGCAATCTCAGGAAACCATATTTTTTAGGACTCAAGATTTTGAACATCATTATTGCTGGGGTAAAACCATGTCCACATAGATAAGCATACATTCATTATTTTACTAAATATATTACCATAAGAATTATTGAGGTGAATATTGAAAAACAAGGATATAACAGTTATAATTAGTTAAAAGATTTACAGTCTTATGACTAGGTGCTTTTCAGTTCTGCATTTCTGAACCTATTATTGTATTTGGGTAGACAGTTGGCTGATATTCTTGGTGATGCCTACATATAGGGATTCAGGATAATAGTTTGACTAGATATCATTTATTTTATTGTTAATAGACTCTATGCAGAGAAGAACATTTCCTCCAGTAGAATACTAGGAATAAAATGCTTATCAATAGTGCTGGCTGTGCTTCCCATATTTCTATCTGAAATTGGATGATCCCTTTTTGGGGAGCCTCCCTAACATTGATCCTCTTGCCATCACGTTATTTTTTATGGAAACTGTGCTATTGATATTAAATTTCTTATTAAGGAATTCTATCTGAAATTCTGGTACAAGAGGTGAATAAGAATTTTTGAGAATAGAATTAATTTTCTTGTATTACTTTGCTTTTCTCAAAATACCTGTTTTCTATGTTTATATGGCAGAGATTCATTGATCTAATGTTTATCCTTGCTTTTATACATGAATATTTCTTTGTTAGTGTTTATATTCATTTAAAGTGCATTTTCTCTTAACCAGATAAGTAGAAAAATGTTCTTCCTATCTGCTTGCCATAAAATAAAACAAAACTTAATGGCATTATTAAAATTAAAATATCAAATATGTAAAATTACAATCTCAATTGTATACAACTGTTTAACTACTTCAAAAAGTGAAATGTGGAGATTTCCCTTGGAAAGTCCATATTTGTAATTCTGCCAGTGAAAAAGACTTGCACGCGCCTCTCTACCTAGGATATGAATTGGCTGGGACTTGGTAAGAAAAAATAATCTTCATTAGACCCAGCATTCTTAATAGGAAAGGAATACCAATTGAATGTTTCAGAGAAGGATTATGAAACCAGAAGAGAGTAAATAGAATGGAACATCACAATTATGACCAATCTGTATCTACAACTCTATCTTGAAATCCAAACTACAGTAATCTAAAAGGCACTCTTAGCTGCAGGATTTCCAAAAATGCTAGCTACGTTCTCTGGTGTCTAAATTTCAGGCTTTGTAACTGGTGCTGCTTGTTCAACTATCAGAATAGGTAATGAATGTTGACATAGATTCTCTTGGTTTCACATGGATTATTTGTGGATAATCTATTCTAGAATAGAATGAATTATATTCATTCATTTTAAGATGAAGAAAATAGTTAATGAACGTAATCTATTTTTTAAAAACCTTGTCCAAAATACTTTGAACTTGATATAAAATATTACTCCACAACACTTTAATTTTAATCTTTAATCTCTAATCTTCAGTGTTATCCACGCATTGTTACAAGCTACAATGGCATGGATTTTGTTTCTATTTCATGGAATTGTAGTAAGGCTTCTCATAATTGATATGGAGATAACCTTGTCTGTTTTTACCTCCAGCTGCTGATTTCTTTACACTAATTATTTTGTAGGTCTAGTGACTTTTTGTATCATATTTTTAAAGAAGGCTAATGAATGCTAGGTGAAATAGCCAAAGTTTTTTTAACAATATCTCCTTCCTAAGCCTAAAGCTTTCCAAAAATGGAAAGAAACCCGTTACTCATGAAAGTTTATCTTTTAGTAAGGTCTGCTGATTATACATAGAGATTGTGTTTGTGCAAGTACAAGATGAATGGCCCTCCTCAATTTAGAGAATGAAGAACTTTTTCAGGAGTGCTGCAGGTTTTAATATTCCCATTTTCTTTTGTATTTTTCATTGATTACATGCTTTCAGATCAGTTTCAATTTTTAGTGACTTCATAGGATTTTTCCAGGATCATCTGTCACCCATTTGGCCTTTCATATCTTCTAGCAGGTGTTATAATGGAAACTATACATTGCTGCTGGTCATCCTCTTCTCTTTTCTTTCACTAAAATGTAAAACCTAAGTCAGTCTTTACTAAACGCACATCTAGTTTTGGATATTATATGATAGGATATTATCTATAGTACTAAGAAGTTCAAAATGTGGCCTTGATGGTTTTAATAACTGTTACAGTTATTGGAATAGAGAGTTATCCTTAAGTGATGTGTTTTCATGTTAACTTGATTACTTTTATTTCTCAATTATTATTTGGTCCAAACAATTACTACAAAAATATGTGAAATGCAACAAAATGTTTTAAATTGCCTTTACTTAGTTGTGATTGCAACATATTTAATTTCCCTTGTTGAAGTTTTTAACAATGTACAGTTTAGTATATTTGCTTTGTAAAGATACTTCTTTAACTGATAAAAATAGCATCAGTGTTCCAAATACCAGTTTTCTTTATTCCACAGGTAATTACTGGAGGACACTATGATGTTGATTGTCGCTTAGAAGACCCAGATGGGATTGTGCTATATAAAGAAATGAAGAAACAGTATGATAGTTTTACTTTTACCGCATCTAGAAATGGAACATACAAGTTTTGTTTCAGCAATGAGTTTTCAACTTTCACACACAAAACAGTTTACTTTGACTTTCAAGTTGGAGATGACCCACCTCTCTTTCCTAGTGAAAACAGAGTCACTGCACTCACTCAGGTATGATAAATTCTGAATACACAGTAATATGCTGTCTTCATCCTAAAATATACTAGAATCAGTTTATAGAACTTCAGAATTTTTATTTTTCTTTAATAGCATGATCATATAGCCAGTTAATTGAGTGACAGTCTCACTTCATCAAAAATGGGAATACAAGGGAGGATGGCATTTGTCACCTTTTCATTTGCACAAGTAATAAAGAGTGCTAACCTGAATGAAAGGTGGGATAAGAAGGCGGATCAAAACATCAGATTTCTGCAGCTTCTAATATGGAACACTTTAGTACCAGCTGTCCTCTGAGAAGGAACAAACAAATGAATAATGGCAACTAAAGCCTTGGCTATTATTGTGCAAAACACTCCCTAAAGTGTATGTTTATACTGTTGCCCAAATCTCCAGTTATTGTGAACTGCAACTTATAGTATCCATCATTGTTGATCAGGGTCTTTGAAACTGCTGCTTAAGTAACATTTCGATCAGTAGAACAGCTTTTGTCAGTAGTACAGAGATGGGCTCAATCCTTTCTCATATATCATTCCATTTCCAAACCACAATTTAGAGGATTGGAAGGAATCTCCTGTTATTCAGGGGAAAGAGGTTAGAAGAGTTCAGCAAGTAGTTCATATGATTATAGAGTTCATTATACATATGCATGTTTCATTTTTGGATCTCAGTGATAAAATTACTAAATATTAGAGTTAAAATTGAAACATTTTCAATATATAGTTTGCATCAAGTTTTGATATTCTTGTTGCTGACTGACAACAGTTTCTGCATGGAGAGAAATTCTTGGTGATTGCCCTCTTTCATTAAAGTAATATTTTTAAAATTGGTTATTTTGATTCTAATCAAAATACAAGCAACTAGAGTAATGCTGTATTACAATAATGTGATTCTGAAGAACGTAATCCTTTTGATTTTTGTAAAACTCTGTCTGTTTTATTAATCAGTGCTCTATTTTTCTGTCTCTAGATGGAGTCCGCATGTGTTTCAATTCATGAGGCTCTAAAGTCTGTCATTGATTATCAGACACATTTTCGACTGAGGGAAGCACAAGGCCGTAGCAGAGCAGAAGACTTAAACACGCGGGTGGCTTATTGGTCAATAGGCGAAGCCATCATTCTACTTGTAGTTAGCATTGGGCAGGTATTTCTTCTCAAAAGCTTCTTTTCTGACAAAAGAACCACTTCAACTCGTGTTGGATCATAACAAGCTTTAAATCCATTGTTTGAAAAATATATTATTATTTGAATGATTTCTAGTTAAAGAACTTAAGTACAGGGAACTTTTTAAATACCTTTAGCTTTCTCACTTCAAAGTTCTGAAATTCATACTTCCAAAAGCTGTCACAGAAAAAAAAGACAGTCTTTTATTTGTTATATATTTGGGTTTTCTTTCACATCTGCTGAGAAATCTAATGATTGCTATTTTTTTTAAAAAAATGAGACTTGTTTGTAAGTACATAGTGCTTTAAGAAAATCCTTTTAAGTGGTTAATTAAAAGATTGTCCTTATGAATGAAAAAAATCTGACCTTGCAAGCTGAAATATTGAAATGAAAACAAAAACACATAATTAACAGTAGTCTCAAAGTCTTGTACTGCACTGTTTTGAGGGTCTATGGAAATTCTAGGGTCTTGAATAATTTTTTTGGGTGTCTGTATATATATATAATTTTACTGTACCAATTTTAGAGTCCTGGAAAAAAACATTTTTCTATGCATTGAAGGGTTATTGTTTTTGCATTTTGCTTTTTAAATTAAATAATGGGGGAAATGCCTTCTAATTCTTGAAGCTGAGTCTTTGAGGATTGCTGTTGTTGCTGCCTTGAGAACTAAATCAGCTTTGACGCAAACCATCTAAATTTTAGGAATCTGATGTTTTCACTTGATAGCAAAAATGCACTGGTTTAAGTAACTTGCAGTTACTCTCTTTAATATTAAATCAGAGCTGTTCAACTGTATGCCCTTTAGATATTTGTAACTATAATTCCAATAAATTTTAAAGACAGGTCAGTAATCAGGAGAGTTACAATCCAAGAGATCTGGAGACTACCATGTTAAATAAAGGATTGTATGGCCAGAAGTGGCTTGAGTGTTTTGGTCTAAATAATTGATTTATTAAGCAATGTATGCAGATGCTGGATATATGTGAATTAATTTGCTGATTAAACATTCTAAATTGATGGGGGACAGTTTCTCGTGTGTACTTACATACTGTATTGCCCTATCCTACCAGCTTTATGCTAAGGGTATTTTTTCAAGACCCTTACAAGATTTGGGAGAATGAGGGATTTTGCAATATAATTGCTAGTTCTATTATACCTGCTTTCTAATGTCCCAAATGCTTTTATGGGTTTTTAAGGTTGCACACTCTTATTTCAGAATACCCAAAAGAAATTAACATTACCACCATAACCATACACATTAAAGGTAAGCCTCATTCCTCTTAGTAAAACTGGATCTTCTAAATGGATAACAAGGCTTGTCTGAGAGGATGAAGAAAAGTTGAGTTGCAAAAATATGAATACCACTATGCTTAAAGGATAACACTCAATAAAATAAGCTTGCTGTTTTATAGTACTTTTGTGCAGAGAATTGACCCATTTCCCCCCATTTCTTTGTAGATATCCTGTAAGCACATTTTACATTTTTTTTCTGTATGAGCTACCTTACTGTGCTGTAAAAGGACGAGAGGTGCTCTGTCATGGAGTCTGACTAACTGACGATGCTAAAAATGCTTAACATTTCCCCTTAGTTTGTGGATGTGGCTTTTTAGAAAAGAGAACATTGATGTGGTTAGAGATGGTGAATATTCCAGTGCTGTATTTATTTAACATTCTGCAATAATAGCTTGCTGTAGAATGTGCTTGGTCTTTCATTTGAGTTTACAGAAAATAAATCTATTGAACGTATTTGTTGTTTCTAGTAAAGGCCACCTATATGCCATTTGTGAAAACAGGGTAATTAAACCAGTTTTAGGGTAATGCGCTTTACCCTTCTATTACTTTTAACGATTCATATACAAGAGGCCCATAGAAATTCTATAAAACAAAGATTGACAGAAGTGATATTTGGCCATAAATCTGAGGAAGTCTCATAAGGGCCTACCTGTTCAGATTAAAGTTGTAAACTTTTTTTTGTAAATAGGTCAGTGTGAATTTCTTTAGTTTTACTTTTTTCATTTCAAAGTTTGGCTATCTGTATCAAACTGGTTACATATATGATGGAGAAAAGGCTCATAACCATGGCCTGATTTCTGAATTTGTAATAGACAGTTAACAGGATGTAATTCAAGGATAAACATGCATATTCGATGACTTGCCAATATGGATATAAATACTATTTTTCAAAGTTCTAGGTATTTACCATGCATTATTTCAGTTCAATCATACTTATTTTTGGCACATTGTATAAAATTTACATCTAATTCCTTAATTTATAATAATAATAATATTTGACTTATTTTTGTAGGATAGGATTTGGGACAGTGACTTAACTATTTGGATTCTGTCTAAATTATCTTGTATCTTGCTGCAGTTTATATTTTTTTCAATATTCTTTTCTCATATTTTAGAAATTTGAAAGTTGCCATAATTGGTTCTAGCATATATTCTTATTAGCCGTGGTTAATAGACAAAAGCAAATTTCAAAGCAATCTTAAAAATGTATGTAAACACAATTTGGTCATAACAATTATTCAGACAAAGACTCTGCCACATATATATATAATTAAAATAGTTTAACCATATCATGGTTCCAGGTTTTTTTATTTCATTTTCTTGAAGTCCATATATTTGTATAATATGATGTATCCAGTTCTTGATTTAAAAAAAAACCCTTCCTTTAGTGTCAGAAAGGCAAAAAATAGCCCTGTGAAATTATACATGAAATAATAAAAGTAATATAAGATTCTGCTGAGTGTTATTATTTAGAGAGTTGTATTGTGACAATTATAAAGTTCTCTTAGAAGTTGCCATTTTTCTTTAGATTTGGATTTTAAAATTCTGTTTTTGTTTTAGAATCAAAGGCAATGCAGTCTTGACAAATTCTGAACAAATTCTCAGAAAAGGCTTTTGGTTTTGCTTACTATTATAAAACTTACTTCCATAAACTGTGTGTGAGATTGCCACATAATTTATTTGTAGATATAGATAAATAAATATAACTGATGGTCAACCACTTGTTTTTTCATAAGCCAACATTCAGCATATCTTGAAGAGCAGTTCCCACCACATCCAGTCTCCCCCTCCCCTTCCTCCACCCTTTTAATAATTGGTCAGATAGTTGCAAATCTCAGGATACTTTGATCTTGCTGAAGGTATTGATCAATCCAAGTCTCTGGGTATGTTTAGATTTTGCTTTAAAATATACGTTTATTACACATGCTCAGACACAAATATATTAAGACCTGACTAATGTTCTTCACTTTTTTCCTTTACGCCTATTTTTTACCTTTTGTAATTACTTGTAGAATTTTACAATGTTTAAGTGAACTCGAAAGGTAATTGTAATTCACAAGCATATCACAGAGGGCACTAGACTGGAGAAGTTTGTGATTATTACAAACTGGGAGTCTGGTGACTAACATGAGTTTCTGGCTACAGATTTATTATCTCAGATTACAACACTGCAAGGAAAGGGGAAGAGACTTGATAGCACAAGCGGAAGAAGAAATACAGGGGAAAAAACCTACTAAAATGATGTAGTGGAAATTTTTTGTTTCCTCTTCTGGAAATCACATGACTTGGTAAATATTCCAAAAATAATTTTGAAAGTCAAGTACTGTGTTAACACAACTGAAGAAATTTGAGATGGGAGAGAAAATATTTACAATAAATAAATTGAGAACTACTTTGAAATTGTGAGGAAAAACTTATGGGGAGGGGGAGCATTTGTAAATAAAAGAAATCAGTGAAAGACCTAATACTTGTTTGTACGAATAAAGAAAATGAATGTCCTTGGTATGCTAACTGGGTCATCTAGACCAGGGATTACCAACACTAAACTTATAATTTTAAATCCCGCGGACCACTAATATGATCTGATGAGTGGCTGAGTGGGCGTGGCCAACTTGATGCAACTCACGTCAAGGGGCGTCTCGACGGCCTCTAATCGTCCCTCCCCTCCCACCTACTTCTCACCTGCCCGCCCGGGCTCCTTAGGGCTCCAATAGAAAACAATTGGAGTTAAGCAGCCATAAGAAAGAGTTGGCAAAATAGCTGGCTCAGTTTAAATTGGATCTGACTGAGAAGGAGGCTCAGAGAAGGAGGCATCTCACTGAGGACTACAAGCATAGGTTTTCCAAGCAGATGGAAGATCTGTAGGAGTGCAAGGCCAGGTACCTGTATCTGGAGGCTCAGCGGGCTGAAATGGTCAGCCAGTTCCAGGCCATGATGCAGTCCCACTGGAACAAGGCCCTCCGGCTCTTCGCCACCAGTGGTGCTTCCCTGCAGCCTTTACCCAAAGTCCTGCACCGGGAGACTGAAGCAGGTCCCAAGTCAGAATTTCTACCTCCCTCTGCCCCACACAAAAAGACTCCAAAGCGGGAGACTCTCTGCAGCAACACAAACATTCATTGCACATATCCAGCCCAGGGTAGTTTGAGGACCCCTGATTTAGTGCAATATAAAAAAATGCAAATATTTTTTCTGTGGACCACCAACATTTTCTCATGGACCACCAGTTGGTTATCATCTAGACCATAACAACAACTTTGAAAAGAATATTCTTATCAAACTGAAGTCATATATTCTAATCCAGCCTTCCCTTGCCTCAGGTAAATTGAAACTATAAAAGTGCTGTTTAATAATTTTGCAAAACTTCAACACATCTGATGGGAAAAGTTTTAATAAAGAACAATTTAATGGGAGGCCCTAGCTGCAGTAACCAGAATTTTCAGTTTTCATGTTCATACAAATAAACTAATTATTAAATACTGAATTTTAATAGCACATGGAAATTACCATCATGCACTGCATTATGACATCCTATTTACTTTCTGTACACTTTTGCCAAATACTGTATACAAGTTATATTAAAAGAGTCCTCTTTTGTGGCACTCGTACATTTTAACAAAGTCAGTTTGGAGTATTATGATTAAAGAGCATGATAAGAATTCTTAAACCAATTAATTACTTTCCAACTTGCATTAATCCATAAAGTGATTGATTTACTTTCAGCAAATACATTTGTGAATTTAACAACTGATTTACAAATCATCGTTTATTATTCAGCATAAATTTCAACTGGCTGTGAATGAGCCATTTATAATTCATAAACCATAATTTATTGTAATGTTTGATATCTGGAATTTGAAGCTTGCCTAATTTCAGTTTTCTAAAGGAAAATTCATATTTATAAGGCTATGTAAATGATACACTAAGCAAAAAGGTTCAGTTAAGAAACATACACACTGCCATTTTATTTTTCATGCATTAAAGTGTAAAAAAGAATTGTGACTTATCCTGTACCTGAACCAGAAACCATTTTGGTTTAAAAACTGAATTTTGTAGCTGATAACAAACTTCTAGGAACTAAAATTCTTATTTTTGGAAATCACCAATTGCCATATCAGGCTTGAATGCCATGATAAGCCACAATTTTTGGTTGTGCAAATTGTTTGCAATGGAATTTTACCCATGGTTAAATTAGCTATAAATGGGAACAATTTTTAATTCCTTTTTGGAGGAAAAACAATACTTTCATACATGGAAAACAAACGTTGCATATAAAACATTCAGCATAGTTTTTAAACAAATAATTGAACCTTAAGTAAATGAAATAATGATCACAATTTCCATTTCATCAATAAAAGCCAGCTCATACAGAAAATAAATATATCTGTGATCTTATATTGTAAATCATTAGGCTTCACTGTCTCCAGATTTGTACAGTGGACTTAACTGTTTGTTTTGCTGGTCCCAAATCTACATGTCAATTACATCTTTATATCATAGAAGTCATGGAATCATAGGGCTGGAAGGGAATTTTGAGATTTAATGCAACCCCCTGCTCAAAGCAGAAGACCTTGGTATATAATTCACAAATATATTCACATCTTTAAATTATATTGATCCTTATATACATTAAGAATGCATACCAAAGCAAAATGTGGCAAAAGTATGACAAGAAATTATTTTTTGAATAACAGATGCCTCAACCATTTTTACACCCAACAATATAACAAATAGCCAGCCCTTTTCCATCTGCTGAGTTCACATGGTATACAGGGCCATAGACTGTACAGAATGGGATTTCAGAGGACAGAAAACTAGCCTGTAGCTTATTGGGTATCTGAAAACTTGATAATGGAAAACAATCATGCAGAAGTTTTAAAATCAGTGGGTAACAGTACTTTCCCCCTACAAAGATCTAGGGAAAAGGGTCTGCTGCCATCAGTAACTAGCCTTATAATTCTGGTAAAATGGCACAAAATCTTGTTCTGGGTGTTCTACAGAATGTAGTATTTAAAATCCAGAGCGGGACTGGAAGAATACAAATAGAAAATGTGGAATATAATTCATTTTTTTTCCTGACTATGTCACTATTTTAATAAATTGTAGCTTATCAGAAATTATTGGTTTAGCTGATTGCTTATCTCTTAAATGGCTGGCATCAAACGACATAAGGTAAACTTAATAATAACGGTTTCTTGAAGTAAACCAAACACCTGCCGTGTGAGCCGCACCCCGACCCACCAGCAAGCCATAGACTTAGCTCGAGTATTCAGCTTCCTGAGCCATTCATGAAGAAAAAAACAAGAAGCTGGATTCCATTCCACCACAGGATCGTCTAACGCGTGACTTAGTATGCCGTGTGAATAGAAGCACCTTTGGGGTAAGAAGTAACTTCGATTTCGCAAGCGTATGGGCTCAGACCGGAATTAGGATAACACTTCAACAAAACTGACCCGTATGAACTTAAAAAGCCGAGAACTGCGGTCGGGAACAGCGAACGAGTTCGCGGCGCGTCAGCCGGCCCCGCCCTGCCTTCGCTTCTCTTTTTCTTCCCCTGGTCGAGATGAGAGCCGGTAACTCCGCTGTGTGGTTTATTCCGGCGGACGAATTGCGAGGAGCTGGTGGTTTCCGATGGTACATTTTGCGCGGGTTCTGAGGAATTTCGTCGCCCGATGAAGCTGGTAAATGTCGCTTTGCGACCGACGGGGAAGGAGGGAGGTGAGAGCGTAATAGTCGCGCAAAGATCCTGACTTGCTGAACCGTTTTAGTTTCGAGCTCAACTTTCCCAAAGGGGCTACGGATGAGGGCAGTTGAAAGCCGAAACAAATCGAAAAGTTTTGGTTTGGGAGGGCTGTGAAAGCCACAGTGGGCTTTTGAGGAAATACATTACCACCCCCCTCCCCCGGTCTTCTTGGGTTACCTTGCAAACTTCTGGCAGTGTGAAAGTCCAGTTCCTCCGACTGAGCAAATTATGGCAACTGTTTGAGGGCTTGGAAAGAGGAAGGATGTGTTCAGGTTTAAATGCAGGGATTCATGAAACATGTCGGTAGCAAAATTGTGATTTGCTGTTTTGAGTTATTTTTCTTGCCATGAATCATAATATCGTTGTTTTTTCATTATTTTGTTGTTCTGTTATTTATTTAAGAAAAATTTGTAGGGCTGTCCACTCGCTCTCAATGACTGCAGGTGGCTTACAAAAATAAAAACACAATATATGAACATTAAAAACAATAACTCTCTCATCCCCCTATGACAACACTCAATCAAGCAAGCCATTTGATGGGCTTCAACCCACTCAGGGTTCCCCAGGCCCACTGGCAAAACCAGGTTTCAGGACTGTGAAACTGTGTCAGACTGGGGGCCAATCTAATCTCCACAGGGATGGGAGAGAGCCACCACGGAGAAGGCCTTTCTTCTGGATCCCACCAGATATACCGCCTTGAGGGGGTTGGGTAGATG